GCATGGTGCTAGATTTGTCAGGGATCTGTGGAGGGCTCGGAGGTGAGGGTGAGCTCTTTGATGCCTGAGATGATGCTATCATTTTTAGTTCATCGTCTTCCGTCTCGGATCAACTGTTCATCTACGGAGGGCTTAGAGATCGGTGGATCAACTGTTATTCGTCTTTTGTCTCGGATCAATTGTTCATTTCTCTCTCTCCACAACAATTAATGAGTTTTTTTGATAAAATTTCTTTTTCGTGAAAAAGAAAACATTACCTGTAGATGGAGATTAACAAGCTGATCAATCTCCATTGTCTCTTGGTCTCCGACAAAACTCACACTTAGACCGTCTCTACCATTTGTGACGGAGAGGTTTTGGGGATGGTATTTTAGAAACAAATGTGGTATTTTTAGGAATGGAGGTGGGAAGGGTATTTTCGGAATTGTTCATAAATATATTACTCATGTGATATCACATGTAACAGAAAGTTAACGGATGCTAATGGTAAGGGTAGAATTAGTTAGTTGTTAGAAATAGTAGGGGTAATGTTAGTCAATTTTCAAACATTAAGAGTACATTCAGTCAATTTTCAAACATTAAGAGTAAATGAATCGAATTCGAATCGGATCAGACAATATCTGAATTTGAATCCAATTAGAAAATTCGATATTCGAATTCGATTTGATATCCAACGGATATTGAAAATTAATATCCGAATTCGAATCCAATTAAATATTCGAATATTCAATTCGATTAATTAATTATTTTAGATAATTAATAAATATTTTATTGATATAAAGTATATAAATTATATAAAATATTTTGTATATTATATATAAGAATTAAATAATCGGTCGAATTCGGATATTTATCAAATCGAATCAGGTCATATCCGAATTCGAATCCGATTTCGAATACCATTGACACCCTTAACCATAAGGGTAGTTTAAGAAATTTACCCTATTTTTTATTTATGTAGGTATGCATGTTATTTGGATTTTCTAATTAGGTTTAGTCTAATAGAATGACAGAAATCACATTAGAAACTAGACCAAATCATTATAGAATAGTTTGGTCTAATTTGATTTATATATTAAAAGGATTTGATTATGTTTGAGGATTTCTTAAACTCTAATTTATTGGTTTGGTCTAAAATCTTCTATAACCCAAACCCAATCGTACTATGAACACTTAATCATGATAGTTGCAAATATAGCAACTAGACCAAAGCATTTTGGAATTTGCCTTCAATGGGAATGCCATTCCATAAGGCTTTTCAAAGAAAACATTAGTGCTTATAAAGTACGTTTAGTTTCCATAAATATGACCATTTGAATAAGGTGGAGATGAGAATTGTTGGCTATCCAGGATATTTTATAAACAGACTTGACTAAAAAGACTCCATTGGTTGTCTTAATCCAAATGATATTATGCAGTGAAATATTGTTGAAAAAGTTAGGTGTTCCATTTTTGTTCATTGTTGGCAGTGTTATCAAAATCTAACAATTTATGATGTGATTCACAATTTGAATCATGAATCCTATGGTTTCAATTTAAATCTCATGTTTAGACCCTTTATACAAAAAACCTTATGATTTTTGTTTAATCATGTGATTTGATTCATGAATCTTATAATTTAAAACCTTATGATTTTTGTTTGAATCATGTGATTTGATTTATGAATCTTATGATTCATATGATTAACGCGATTTAATTGTTCAAATAAAATTAATTAAGAATTAATTATATACATTATTGTTTTTCTTTGTATTTAGTTTTGTCAATAGATATTTATTTTAAAGTCATTACAAGAAAATGATTTATTTATACTATTTAAAACTAGCAAACATTAAGTTTATTTTTCATTATCAATGTAAGAGAGTGTGCCATGCATGTCTGGAAGTATTAACCATATATAGTATTGGGATTTAACTTGTATGACCTATATAGAAATTAAGCCAAGTATCCCATATCCATTTTATATGGCATAGATATGTTGGTTAAAGGATCATGTGTGCGTTTTTTGACTTAAGTCAAACTTGATTATATCATCTCAGACTTTTATTTTATAAGAGGTAAATCCATTGTTTTAAGTACATGTATCGTATAAGTGAATTATAAATATGATAAAATCATTTTCTTATATACTAGTGTAAGAGCACGTATTATACACATGTTAAATAAGTATTACCATTAACCATATATGATATATGGTATTTAGATTTAACTTTTATGAACTACACAAAAACTAAGGCAAATATTTGCTTAATATGATATAGGCATTTAAATTATTAGTATATCTATATGTAAATTTCTGACAAGCTAAATCTTATAATTTACAATCGAATTCAATTCAATTTTCTCTACAACTTATGATATAGTCACAATTTTCAAGACATTGTTCATTTAGAAAAATAGGATACTGGAATGTCCTATGTGCTAAGTTAGTATTTAGAAATCCTATCTTAATCCTGGTAACCATGAATTTTGAAATACTTTGATTCTTTGACCATTATGTATGGCCTAGCATAGATTTTGCTTAAATGGTTTGATTTGTTCGAATAGCTCGATAGCTTTCTTCCATTAGATTGAACAATGCGTTAAAGCTTTGGCCGCAAAGAGACCATTGCACATTTTTGGTAGTATTTTTCTTTAATATATTTAGCCCTATGGTAAACTCTCATTTCTCAATATTTATGTGTATCCATATTTGCTTTGAAAACATCATCATGTTTATCTCCTTTTTCCATTCTAAGCTTGAGTCCTTAACATTTTGCTTGGGTGACATAGTAGATTAACACTTTTACTAATTAGAAACATTTTGAATTTTGATCAACATCAACTGATCATTTACCACTTCTATGATACCAATTGATTGGCTATCAATGGGTTAACAGTAAACTCAACTTGACCCAACACTATGGGGTTGGGTCAACATCAAGTTTATTGAGGTGTAGGGTTAAGTTAAGGTTTTGATTCTTTAATCCGAGTAATCGGATTTGGGTTTTGGATAACCTGCATCACTAGGTCATAATACCCCTATATTTAGGGTATTCTTGTAATTTGTTGACTTCTAACTCCATAACCTTTAAACTTAGGATTTCGTTTCATGTTTATTTTGGTTTTTATTCTTTCACCAATGAAGAGAGTGATACCTTAGAACCTATAAACTAAAATACTAACTTAATATAATGGATTTTAGATTTAAAAAATTTGTTATTAAAAAAAATACAATTGAAAGATTAGGATTGGGTTGGGTTGGGGTAGGTTTTACTTGGCCGAATTGTGGCAATGGGTTCAAAACATTGGTAAGGTTTTAGTTAGGAAGTCAATTTAGATAAGAATGGATTGGTTTCAAACACCCATGCAATATAAAAAGGGTTGGATTTGGTTTGGGCCATATTAAAATGGAGCATGTATAGATCGTATTTATGGATCCATTCAAATATGAATATAGATTCAATAAGGATGCAAGGCCCAGAGACTATAAACTTTCCAATATGAACTCAAATTTCGTTCACAACTCTTCCATAATCTTCACAACTCTCTCTCTCTCTCCCTCTCTCTCTATGTATGTACACATACACATCCGATGCATGTATACAATTAAGTGTTAACCATATATGGTACGAGGTTTTTAGATTATACTTTTATGATCTGCACAAACCCATGGCAAAGTATTGGCTTTAAGGCATGTCAATGACATTATTTTTAATCAAAACTTCTAATCATCTAGATAAAATCTACTGCATACAAATACTTAGGCATCCTACTCTAGGATTCAAGGCCAATACTAGAGCAGAATCTCTCATCCTCTAGTTAAAATCTAATACAAATTTTTAGATGTCTGCATTTTCTTGTTAGATTTTAGGGGTTTCCATTCTTGACCAATTTGAGCACCAAGGTAGAGAAGTTCCAAATGTAATACTTAGGTGAGATTTTTTTTTAATGCACTTAGGTGGCATTTGATAATTGCAAGAATAGATGCTTTAAAAAACACTGCCAAAATATAGTTGAAAGGGGAATGAATAGTTGGGACAAGGCTCAGAGGGTGGCAATGAACATGGGTTGGCTTAGGATAATAAGGACTATATATAGCTTGGGCTTGGGCTTGGGCTTGACCGGTATGAGCTTTGGGCCTAAGTCATTAATTAAGTTTTATATAGTATATATTATACACTAATATTTTATATTATATAAGATATAGTATATGTATAAAATATATTACATAATTTATATAAAATAAAATGTTACATATATGTGCCATTTATAATATGATATCAATCATGTATACATGAATATATATTTAATACATAAATAATATATTGCTGGCCATGCCCAAACAACAAAACATAGGCCCAAACTCCCCAAATCCCTATGATGATATTTATGTTATGGGCTTGATTATGATGGGTAAAGATGTATCGAAAAGCTTATAATCAATCAATCGACCTTATAAAAGTGGTTATCAATCAGGTGGGATTTCATCAAAATTTGACGAGGTTGTAATTGCTTAAAACCTTTATGGTATTATGTTTTTTGGGCATTATAGATTTTTTCTAAGACTGTGTTTGGTTGCAGTACAAATTTATTTGCATTAATGTAAATGCATGAGAGTGTAAATGTAAAATATGTAAATTTTTATTTAATTTTATTTTGGATTTTACTTTATTTTGTTTCATGTCTTAATTTACTTCATTTGTATTTCATTTATATTGTAATCAAACAAAATAAGTTAAAATTTAAAATAAAAATAAGTTAGAATTTATACTTAAATCATTTGCATTGTCATGATTTTGTATCAGTGCAAATTTATTTGCATTGCAACCAAACACAGACTAAATCTTATCTTTTTTTAATCAAAAGAAAAAAAAAAACTTTTATTCACCGGTCGTTTAAATATAAAACCTAAAAACCCTAACCTTAACCCGACCCAACCTAACCCAACATTTTGGTTTTAATTCGGGCTAAGCCGGCCCAAGTTGTTGCACTACCGTGTCACCTAATTCCCGAATAGGTTAGCTTCTCGGTCCTGAAACCGAGAGTTGAGATTTGAGACTTGCGAACGGAACAGAGCCGAGCCTGTTGTGATTAGCTCTATTTTCCTTCCCTTCCAGAGAAAGCTCTCTTCAAGCTTGAACGATGCAACGAAACGGAAGCCCTGTATCATAAGCCGGTAAGTTGAAGACAGGAATCCTCAAATGGGCTATTTGAGTCGAGCTTCGAAGACGCTTAAACCATCCAGGTACTTGTATCTGTTATCTGGGGTTTCCACGTATAGTCCATTTTCTGCTGTATCCGGAAGGATTCCAGTCGCTGGTGAATTCGGTTGGCGCTCTATTGGTGGGCAGCGTGTTTTCTGTTCTCAGTCCCGCCAAGGTAGCAGAGAAAATAACATAGATTTGAGCCAGTATCCTCCTGAAAGAATTCGAAACTTTTCTATCATTGCTCACGTTGATCATGGAAAGTCTACCCTCGCTGATCGGCTTCTAGAGCTCACGGGGACAATCAAGAAGGGCCATGGTCAGCCGCAGTACCTCGATAAGTTGCAGGTAGACCCCTCTGTGTATTTGAAAGTTTTCCTAAAGTATTTTCCTTTACAAGAAAGAAAAAGAAGAGATAGAAAATTGCGTTTATTTTCTTATTATGTGGAGTACTAACCCTGATGGGTAGTGCATTTCGGTATATCAATACGTGTATGTTAGTTCCGTCCAGAAAACACAAAGGCAGAAGAAAGTAGCAAAATCCCATTTGGATCACTTGCATATTTCTTCAATCTGCTCGAAACGATTAACTTGTATACATGCCCATTTAGAGAGTGATCATGTCATGTGTTTTTGACATTTTCTCTAGCAAATAATATTCTTCTGTTTTGTTATTTATGTGATAAATTATAAAAAGGAAGATAAATCAAAATTCATCGAGTAGCATTTAGAGAACTAACTTATTTCTTTCTAACCTTTCAGACTGAAATATTACTTCAAAGATCATACTAATTTATCTGCTCTTGAACTCGACTGCCTCTGGATTAAGGAGACTAAAGCTTTCTTGAAAGAAACAGTTGATAAATGATCAAGAATAATTCCAAGGAAGTGCGGTAGAGGGAGAAAAGTCCATCTAGGCAACAATTAACAGCTAGAGAGTTACCCAGTTCCCTTTCATTTTTTTTCCCTTGAATTTACACTTGATTGAACCTAGGAGTTTCCTGTCTGCAGCTTTCTTTTTTATGAGAAAGAGATGTTTGAGTTTGGGATCATTTCAGCTTGACATAGGGGCTTTTCAAGGAGTACCTCAATTTTCTTTAGCCAAACATATCTTCCATTTCTATTATTTTTGGTATACTTTTCTACTCTGAGTGTGGGATGATTTTTGTTCTTAGATTTGTTCTCTACTTTTTTGTTCTCTTTTATTTATTGTTTAAGATGATAATTTTGCATTGTCTTCTTATACTTATAGGTAGAAAGAGAAAGGGGAATCACAGTTAAAGCTCAGACTGCAACTATGTTTCACAGGCACAACTACGGTTGTCTTAATATTAAAAATCCTGAAGATTCACCGAGTTTTTTACTAAATCTAATTGATACACCTGGTCATGTGGATTTCAGTTATGAAGTATCAAGATCTCTTGCAGCTTGCCAGGGTGCCCTTTTGGTTGTTGATGCTGCCCAAGGTGTTCAAGCACAGACAGTTGCTAACTTCTACCTTGCTTTTGAATCTAATCTGACCATAATACCCATCATAAATAAGATTGATCAACCAACTGCTGACCCAGACCACATCAAGGCTCAGCTCAAGTCCATGTTTGATCTTGACCCAAATGATGCCCTTCTAACTTCTGCTAAAACTGGTCAGGGACTTGAACATGTCCTTCCTGCTGTTATAGAACGAATACCTCCTCCTCCAGGGAAAAGCAGTCTACCTTTACGGATGCTTTTGCTGGATTCTTATTATGATGAGTACAAAGGAGTAATCTGCCATGTTGCAGTTGTTGATGGTGCTCTGCACAAAGGGGATAAGATTTCATCAGCCGCAACTGGCCAAACATATGAAGTTTTGGATATTGGAATCATGCATCCTGAACTCAGACCTACTGGAGTTCTTTTGACTGGACAAGTGGGCTATATGGTTAGTGGCATGCGTTCAACCAAGGAGGCACGTATTGGAGATACACTTTATCATACTCGAAGCATTGTAGAACCTCTTCCAGGTAAATCTGTTCTTTTTTTCTGCTCATTATTGACAGTATGCTTTCTGACTTCTCAGATCTGCAAAAAATGATAAAAAACCCTAAGATTTTCAAAATAATGTTGGAACACTGTGATAATGGTGTTTTATGGGCGGCCACTCTACTGTTAATATAGTGTAATATATATTACATTACATTACAATACATTATATTTTATATTATTTTATAGAAAGTCAATGGACAAATTTGGCTTTTGAAGGGGGCAGGGTGAAACCAAAAATGCGAAGGATCTTTAGAGGGGCAAGAACAGCCTAACAACAATAGTTATGCTACAGATCAAATGAAAGAGTGGTGCTGGTTAAACAGTAGCCAATCCTTCAACAAATTCATTGTCATTTTTTAATGTTTTTGAGAGATAACCAGAATGACAGTCTCTGACAACATAACCTTTGAGAATAAGCAAGTTAAAACCTTTTTCACACCCAGCCCAAAGATGAGTCTCATGAACATGTTGCATTGGTCTAAAGAAGAATGTGTCAAAAAAAATCTAAAGAAGAATGTGGAATATAAATCCGAACTAAGACCAATGTAAATTACCATAATTTGCTAAATAAAGCATAAAAGATCTCATTAAAACACAAAAAGAGCAGTTACTATAGTTGTTTTCAATAAAACAATACAAACACAAAATGAAGTGTAACTATATTTACATAGTTATTTATTGTCAATAAAGGTGTGGTAGTGATGTTTACACCCCACACTTTGGGGAAGCAAAATGCCTAGCCTCGTACATAGCATTGTAAAACATCGTTTGATGAAAAATGTTGACATCATCCCTGGTGGCATATTGCAGCCATGCACAAAACAGCTCAATCCATTTGTAGGTGTAGACTAGAAAGTGCCCCATTGCTCAAAAAGTGGACAGCTCGGCTTTTCTTTCAAAGGGTATTTACAGTTTCTGTTTCCTAAAGAAAGCTGGATATTCTTTCATGGCTCTGTGTCATGGATTAAAGGGTAAAAATAGCCATCACTCTTGATCCATCTATTCCAATTTTAAGTTGTTTAAACCTAGTTGCATTGCATGTTTCGGCCTGCTGTTGCAATTAARGTTTTCTTTGATAAAGAAGAAACATTTTATTAATTATCAAAAAAAAAAGAAGAAACATTTTGTTGAAAGAAAAATGAAGATTACAACCAAGGTGAAAAGGTTTAATCCAAAAGCAACTGTCTAATCTGCAATGATATTATGAGCCACTGCAATAACTTATTCAAGTGACAGTCAGTCTCCAGATGAAGGGCTAAGTTATGCATGCTGCTTGGCTGTTACATGTATAGTGTTTTTCCAGTTACTAATTTCCTTCAAGACAAAATAATTTGTTTAGATATGGTCAAATTATATCAATCTGGAAACATGGTTCAGTTTTGGATTCACTTTCTTATTACTGTTACTTTGTTATCTGATTTGGCTTAGTTGTTTCAATTTTCTCAATGTGATTGAGTTCCGAACTTTGTATTTGATACAGTTGTCTTTTCTTAATGCAGTATGTAATCAGTATTTAAATCAACTGGTCCTGACTCTGTTCTTTCTTGTGGTCTTTTTGTCTCACTTGGTAAATAATTCTAATGTTACAGGCTTCAAGCCTGCAAAGCATATGGTTTTTTCTGGTCTTTATCCGGCTGATGGATCCGATTTTGATGCTCTTAACCACGCGATAGAGAGACTTACCTGTAATGATGCCAGTGTTTCTGTTACTAAAGAGAGTAGCACAGCACTTGGACTGGGTTTTAGGTCAGAACATCTGCATCTGACTGAGAATATCTTTTCTTTTAATATTTTAAGTATAAGTATTAGCTTTATAGAACCTAGGATCAGTTTATTTAAACTGAGTTAACATTATCTAAAATAAAATCAAAACTTACTGGCATTCACTCTGCAGATGTGGATTCTTAGGTTTACTTCACATGGATGTTTTTCATCAGCGGCTTGAACAGGTATTCATTCCCTATTTTACATTTTCTTACCAGCAAATTAAGTAAGATTTAGGGTGAATCTGTAGTCCAGGTACTATAAATAGGAAGTTTAGGGCAGTGTGTTTTAATTTTTAAAATGGCCACACTAATGTTCTCATGGTGGATGTCTCCTAGTTCAGAAAATCAATATGGTGATATGCTTGTAGCTATTTAACATTGCAAGCTGTCAGATTTTTGTGGTCTGTTCAAAATCATCCACCAATGGTTCAGAAAGAAATCCATTGATTAGTGCAATTGTTATCCATTTGATTTGTGTTTTGATCTGGGAGGTCTTGGTGGGACCAATTGATTAGTAAATCCTAGGATCCTAGCCTGGTTCCAAGATAGTAATTACATCAATAAACCTTAATATATAGATTTACTGAGTGCTAATGGATTACTCATAAAGCCATCAGTTTATTTCTGTATGTTGATCTCAAATTCTTATTTTGTAATCACAGGAATATGGAGCTCGTGTCATTTCTACTACTCCAACTGTACCATATATATTTGAGTACTCCGACGGAAGGTATCTGGTCTGCCAATCAATAATGTTATTCTCTGCTTGTTGTTAGTTTTAGATTTTCTTAGCATAATCCTTATTCCTTGGTGTCAACTTTAGCAAAGTTCAAGTTCAGAATCCAGCTGCACTGGCCTCAAATCCAGGAAAACGTGTAACAGCTTGTTGGGAGCCTACTGTAATTGCTACTATTATTATTCCTAGTGAGTAAGCTCTTGTGTTCCCTTTCTATTTGGCATAGTGTGTCTAGACAACATGCAAACCCTTTTCCATTTATTCTTTGTTTCTCATTTGCTTAAAGATATGTTGGACCTGTTATCACCCTTTGTTCTGAACGGAGAGGGGAGCAACTGGAGTACTCATTTATTGATAGGTAATTTTCTCCAACTTCATCTGCGTTCCTGTATCTCTCCTGTTTCTCATCTATCTTGGACCAAATTTATGTAATTACATTCTTTATGTGTATGCATCTGGTACACTCAATGGAATTCTAAAGTGTCAGAAATTCTTTTGGAAATTTAGAACCATGGCTTGGATAATTGGAATTTATAATCCTTCAACTGGTTGAGTACTGCCTCTAGAACTTGGTTTTGCATTTACCTTTTGTGAACTAGAAGATGACTCGTCTTTCTTTCTGGTAACTGTGCAGTCAACGGGCCTTTATGAAATATCGACTACCATTGAGGGAAATTGTTGTGGATTTTTACAATGAACTGAAGAGTATAACCTCTGGGTATGCAACATTTGATTATGAGGATGCAGAGTAAGTCATTTCTCCCTCTCTCTGTGCATCTGTAACTCTGTACAAGTATGCATATTTGTTGATCGGTCTATATATAGCTGCACTCTCCAAAACAAATACGCAATCCTGCCATGAGGTTGCAAGTTATGTAGCTTGCAAGGTTGGCCAAACAAATAGTCTGCTAGGCCAGGGTCCCTATAGATATGAACTTGATGTGCTTGCTTAGGTTTCTCATAGTTTTATGGAAGCCCACAAAAGTTCCTTTGTGCAGTTCTTCTGGTTACATCCATGTAAAATGTTGATCTAGACCAGGGTCATCAGTGGGATGAGTTAGTTTCACTCAAGTGATCTTGTTTGAGGTTGGTCTTGTGGCTCATGATCCAAGCCTGACATTGTGTTAAGGTTGTTTTGACTAGATGAGCATGAAACCTCCATTTATGTCATGGAGGGATGATATCAATTCTGAGCTGAGCCTTCATCAGAACCATGAATTTCCGTATTGGCCAAGTGCTCACCTCCCCGAGAACTAAAAAATGTCTACAAGGATTTATTTTGAAGTTATGGCAGGTACATTTGGGGTGAAACATGTTCCATAGATAGATTGTGACGAGGGGAACATGCGAAGCTCTTTACAGCTCAGCTCCCTAGAGCAGCGATACATGGAAGAGTCCTGGTTGTTTAGACCCTAGAAAACTCAAATCAATCCACTAGCAAACCGGTTTATGTATTATACATAAATGGATTGCAATTAAAAGAACTGAGGGGAACCATGCCTGATCTATTGGAATCTTGGTGAGCCAAACCCAAAATTGGCACCTTTGGCTCTGCACTACAGTCTGAGCTTTGCAAAGCTTCTGTGTTGACAGTTCTAATCTGGGCCACTGCTTCTCTCTCTCATGGATAATTAACTATTGCTTTTCAATGTTGTATTGTGTTCAACAGTTACCAAGCCTCTGATTTGGTGAAACTTGATATCCTTTTGAACGGACAACCTGTTGATGCTATGGCAACCATTGTTCACAATTTAAAGGCACAGCGTGTTGGTCGTGAGCTTGTGGAGAAGCTGAAGAAATTTATAGACAGGTTTTTACTTTGTCTATGTAGTTTTGGATCACAAGTTTTGAATTTCATGCATTCTTTATCTAAAAGCTTTGAATATTTCACAATGTTGAACAGGCAAATGTTTGAGATTACAATACAGGCTGCCATTGGATCAAAGGTTATTGCAAGGGAAACGTAAGTCCCATAAGTTTTCTCTTCTAAAACTTTATCTTTTACTAAAATGGTCTAGACTCTGATCTTCTCAGTTGTTGGCTTCTTTTTTTTTGGATAAAATAGTTGTTGGCTTCATGTGAGCAAGAGAAGTGTTTGATTCTATCTATCTTTATATGAGAACTGTCAGAGCTCCACCCGGATCTCTACACCGGAAGTTGACTATCAAATGATTTTAACTATTCTATTTGATGGTTTATTTATCCAAAGACTACGGCATATATCTTCTGCCTCTAGTAGATCTCCAATAATAACAATAATAAGTATATTGTCATTGTTATTATTATTTTGCATGCTTGCAAGCATTGCAGTGAATATATTCTAGTTTGATGATTTAAGTCACTTGTTTGTGAAAACATGATAACAAACATAATAATTAAGGACTTCATATTGAAAATTATAGCTTTGAATTGTATTAGGACTTTGCTAAAACTGCTTTTGACAATGCCATTGGTAAATAATAATATGCATCGGATACTGTTATTGATAAATAATTGTTCACGTTCCGGCTAATAAAATGCATTCCACATGGAAATGCACTCTCCTGTGGGCATCAGTCATGATATTCTCATTTAATTTTCTTCAAGAACTAGGACATGTCATTGTGGTAGAATGAGATATTTTTTTTCATAAAAAAAAAACTCATTCAACCAGAAAGGTTCTCTTCTTGATTTGGTTCAGGTAACTACTATAATAATGCATCTCTCTCATGGAGAGATCTGCTGTGACACAATAGTTTCTATCTTGTAGTCCTTCGAAATGATAAAAGTGTGGAAAACAATCCTGTAAACTTTGAAATTGAAGATAGAGAATACTACTCAGATTGATCTCAAAAAAGCTTACTCCCAACTAATTTTAGTCAGCTAAATAAATCCTGAATTGCTATTATGCTTTATTAAGGCCCAATGACCTCCCCAGGCATGTTCAACCTGTTTCCTTTTTGGCCTTCATACCTCTTTTGGAATTCTTAACCTGAATTAGGTGCTTCTAAACAAACTTGAATTAGGCATTTCTTTCTAAAATCTTACTAGGTCCAGCAAGCAGTCTTTGATGCATGTGTCAATGTAGAGAATGATATCATCATTTGAATTAGATTGTACTGTGGACATTATAGTTCTCTTGAGTATGCATGAAAACACATACTGTTAAACCATATAACCCCCTTTCTGGACTTGCTTTCCAGGATATCAGCAATGAGGAAAAATGTTCTTGCCAAATGTTATGGTGGGGATGTTACACGTAAAAGGAAGCTTCTCGAGAAACAAAAGGAAGGAAAGAAGCGGATGAAACGTGTGGGCTCTGTTGATATACCTCAAGAGGCTTTTCATGAACTTCTAAAGGTCTCTTGAAAAGAGATAAAGAATCAACCTTTATGTAACTGATAGAATTGTTCTCCTTTCATTCCTTCTTTGTTCAATTGTTGTATTTAGTGGATATTACAGATCAACTATGTTTGTCATTCTTTTTTATTTTTGAAGGTGCCAGCTGGCTCAGCTAGTAAAGTCAGTGGATGTAGATCCCACTGACCTGGGATCAAATCCCGCCTTCACCCTTACCCTCAAGGTTGTCTGTCCAAGAAAATGAAAAATGTTGGTTTTCTTTTGTCTCCTTCCTACAGAAACTTGTCAGTGGAAACCATTCTATATTATATTTCCATTTTCTTTTAATCCCATATAAGCTTATTCTATCATTTCGTTACAGGTTTAAACACGGTTTCAAGGTTCGAAGTATTGACACGTATCAGCCTGTATCGGCTGATACGTATCGTTCCGGGACCCCTCCGATACACCCCTATAGTGGGTGTATCAGAGGTCTGACTGGTTCAGGGGGTGGAGGAGCCCTAAACCGGATCCTCTGAACTGGTTTCAGAAAAAAATAAAAAAAACAGTATCGATTCGCCCGATACGCCGGTAGGGGTGTATCGATATTTTGAACCTTGCATGGTTTCACTTTTGGTTATGACCTGTTTGCTACAAAGATCACCTCTTCCTATTGACTAGGTTGGCCAGCACCTCCAATTGAAAATAACGGCAACCCCTAATGAGCATGCATTTGTCCCTTAGAACTTGACTTTGATTTGCTCTGATAATGTAAGGAGGATTGGGCCAGCCTGGCTCGTGCGTAGATATTCCAGCTTGGTTCATCTGTTAAACCGGATAACCCCCTCATTATTGGCATTGTTAGTCTTAAAGGTTAAGGGCGGGTGTTCAAACTGATTCCAGATGGCAAATTTGATGTTAATTTTAAGCGAGACTTTCTGAAACGCCATCAATTTCTCCTAGTCATTATAACCCATATATAAAAACTACCCGTAGGAAGATTTAACTTTGATCTTCAGGTTTTATGCTGAAAGGCAATAAATCTATCACTATGCTATACTCCAATTACTTGTCAAAGCTGCATGGGTTCTGAATATTAACTTTACATTTCCTCTTAGTGGATGTTTGTGGATAAGGATTGATTATTTACATGCTTATTTATAAATATTAATAGAAATTATATTGATTTTCTAATATAATCGTACACATGCATACTCTGCTTCTTCCATCATTTTTCAATGTTTACCAATTGTTTCACATTTCATATAAGCCACCAAAGCATGTATTTCTTATGTATGTCTAGGATTCATTTGAATTTTCTGAGCATATACAGGCGCATCTTTACTTCTCCACTGTATTCATGTGTATCTAAAATATATAATGATTCGTTTGTTAAAGTTTTCTTTCTGACGATCTTTGCATTTACAATACTTCGAATCTTATTTCAGAGTGATTTGACTTGGGTTGGCTTGCACATGTTAGTGAGAGAATCTTCGGGGGTTGTCAGTTCGGTGACTTAAGGTTTCTTTTCTCTCTTAATTTCTTAAAGGAGGCCAACATTGGTAGACAGGTTGAGTTTCATTTTGAAACAATACTACTTCCTATCTTATGCTTGGAAGTTGGAACAGCACTCTTGGAAATATATACCGATTACCAGATGTCGGTCTTGATTCTCAACCTATGAGATCTTCATGGAAATCGGTCGCAATGGAACTCCATGATTTAAGACATGATGCTAAATGGTCGGTATTAGACTGCCATTGAGCTTTTTGAGTAGTTCATTTCGGATGGATTGGACCCGGATTCGACTATTCGGAATTCAATGGATAGGTGAATTTTTTACTGATGAAAGAGAATGATGTTTTTAATTATTAAGTCATTCACAAGCCTTTACCGGTTTGATCAGGAATTCCAAGTCCATCCAGCAAGACCTCTCGAAACCCAGCTTTGCTAAATTATGATCTGCTTCATTTGCCTCTCGAGGAATCCAACAAAACCGAATCGAGAGGTTCCTTATAAGCTTCAAAATGTCCTTCCTGATGAAAATCAGGTCCTGATGCAATAGCTTATCCGGATCTTAGAGAAGATTAACCAGCTGCAAGCAATCAATTTCCACTTCAAGATCCGAGCGGCCCTTCCTTTCGATAGTTTTCAGAGCTTCAAAAAAGAGCAAGAGCTTCTTGTCACGAGGTGCCAATGTTGAAACCATATGACCCGACCCTAATCCCCTACAATGAAGAGGGTTGACAGGAGAGGTTTTAAAAACATCCTAGAAGCTCTTTGAAGTCTCACGACATTTCAAGAGAGTTCAAAAATATTCCAGAAGCATTCTAGAAGATTCATGAGGATGGATCCTTGGACAATATAGATATTTGTACACTATTCTAGAACAATTGTAAAGCTTTGTTGTACATAAATGTATCTAAGGGAACTAAGATAACTTTAGAAGGAAAAGTCTAGAAGTATGTCTAGAACATTCATATTCTAGAGAAATCCAATAGGCAGTGAAAATACCTATAAAAGGGGACTCCCTCCCTCATTTGCATTCATCAATCATTTAAGTGTTGTATTCCTCCCTTGAACAATATAAAGAGTTCATTTGAGTTTTCAATTTCTCTTTCTTTATGTGCTTTGTGCCCTTGTTGACTAAGTGTGTATCTTAGTGTGAGGAATAAATTGGTGAGCTACTTAATACTAAGAGCCAGAAGAGTGCTCTAAGTGAAAAAGGCTGCCTTGTGGAGTGCCGAATAATTGTCCAAGTATTGCATGAGACTCTAGAAGAGACTAGGTCCATGACATTCTGCTACCAAGGGGGAGGACGCCACAAGAGAACCACAGCCTGTCCACCAACGCAAACCATTCCCATCTCTTGCAGTAACACCAAAGGATCCACGTTGATCTTCAACAAACAATTTCTTGGTAGAACCCAGCAAAAAAAACAGCCGCCTTCTTATCAGATTTTGAAGAGCTTCCCAATTCTTGTTGCGAAATAGAGCAAATTACCTTGTAAGGATTCGAATTGGTATCTTCAAAATAAAAGGCATTACGTTCAATTCTTACCAGATCTCCCATAAGCTTAGAATGATTCTCTGCATAAACCCATCGACATGTTACTTTTTGTCCAACCAGCAGTCAAAATAAGTAGTAGCATTGATATTACCAGTTCTAAGACCCACATTCAAACCAAACCAAACACATTTGGCTCTATCACAATGAAATAGAGCATGCATCACTGATTACTGTTCTTTCTCGCATCTTAAGCAAAGAGGTGATTGGACAATCTTTCTACTAAACAGATTTTTCCGAACTGCTAACCCATTTGTACAGTATCTCCACAAGAATTGTTTCATTTTTGGTTGCACCGGGAGCTTCCAGAAAGCTTTGGCTTTGTTTAAATTTAGTTTGGTTGTCTTTCTTTGTCTTGCTTGTCTGTTGTTTTGTTGTTGTTGTCCAGTTTTAATGAAGTTACTCTTTACCAAAAAAAAAAAATAATACCGGTTTGATTGATTCTTTCTGCTTTCCTTACTGCAATACACGAGAGCCTTATGCTTCTGTCTCTTCCTTTCTTGGTGCTTGATGCCTGTGCATGTCACTTGGGAGTTGAATCTTCTGACCACAACACAATGCTACCATGCTCACCCAGTCGTACGTTGAAAATATCGGTGATCACAACACAACTGATGTTATGTGCGGCTGGATGAACATGGCCAACAGATCCGGGCTCGTCACTCGGATGCTAACCTGGTGGTTTAGTAAATGGCTTAAAAACTTTCAGCATTGGATCCTGGGAACCCTACTCCATACGTGATTCTCTCTAACCAACAAGTGCACTGGACAAGGAAGTTGGGGAGACGTAGAAAGGGTCACAGGGATGATGAAGGATAAAGTATTAATGAAACTTGCCGGTTCTAGTTTTACAATATGATAGGGTTGGGGCTTCAAAAAAAAAGAAGAAAATAATATGATGGGTTAAATAGTACACCAATCCAGCAATTATATCATAACATGTAAAGCCTGTAAACCAGAGTTGGAATTTTCTACACTCATTTCATCAAGTGATTGTTGCCTCCAAGAACAGCACTTTCACTGGTTTAACATTTCTCTCACAGCAAACCCAAAGTAATCATCAAAGTGGTTTGGAGGCTCAAAGATGAAGCAAGAAATCACATCTCTGAGTGTAATGACGCCAATAACTTCATCTTCATTGCCATCCACTACATAAATCCTGTGAACTGATTTGGAAGCAAGAGTTCTGATCACGCTACCAAGGAGTGTATCAGGCTTGCATGTTATTGGTGGCATAACCTTCCCAGGTTCTTCTGCAATTGATGCGATGGTGTTCATGAAATCAATCACGGTGAGCTGCCTGCAAGAAGAGCAATGCAGAAGAGGAAGTAGTACAATCAGAATATATAAAAACATATAACAGTAAGTAACCAAAACATAGATGGTTACAAATGCAAGATCATTTCAAGGTTTGAAACTTAAAGCGGCCTCTGATTATTTGTTGCATATATAATTGATTTACTAGAGAAGGCAATCAATACAAAGATATATATACTTTGTGATTTTAGAATAGAGATGACCATATCAGTGCAACAAAATTATTTTTGTTGTAAAATGAATTTCTGCCAGCCAAATCTTATAACAAAATTAAATTGAGTGCACTCATTTAATTTAAGAGTTAATAGTTAAAAGATATTAAGGTGGATGTGGATTTGCTTAGCCCATGGCCATATGACCATATCAGTGCAACAAAATTATTTTTGTTGTAAAATGAATTTCTGCCAGCCAAATCTTATAACAAAATTAAATTGAGTGCACTCATTTAATTTAAGAGTTAATAGTTAAAAGATATTAAGGTGGATGTGGATTTGCTTAGCCCATGGCCATATGCATTCAAGTTCAACAAGTTCTACTGGGACCTAAAGGCCAGCCAAGCCAGATCCAGTCTTTCTTTCAGTAAGGCTATAGAGATTTAATTTGGTACTTGTGTACTCCAAAGCACCTGAAACTGGAAAAGAGTCCAGGGTTAAGCAACAGATATCTGATGTCTCTTATGCTAATGTTTCCAACTATCTTTCTTTTGGGGCCCTCTACAACAGGAAGACCGCCAATTTGTTTGTCCTTCATGCGCTTGAAAGCTTCCAGAATCAGTTCATCACTCCTGATGCTGAGGACCTGACAACCAGAAAATAAGAATATTCTTGATATTCCATATTGAATAACAAGGAATAAAAATAGCAACCAAAATATTATAGCACTCAGGCTTGTCTTCACATATGCACCACAAAGATGCATAATTGAACTGATTAATTAAACATTGATAGATGTTGAGATATCCTTTCCAAGCATATAAAGATGGCTACAAAGACCAAATGATCAAAGAACTCAAAAGCGTCCGACTTTTGTGGCATTGCTTTATTGTGAAATCTTATATAATTGAGATGAAACTAAAGGGTGACTGTGGCGAGGGCATGTGCAGTGCCTCCTTTCTTTCCACCATCATCTTCACAATAAGTGGTTCAATTGCAAGTGCAAGATCTACCTTATCATCTATGCTGTAATATATACAGAAGTTATGCAAATCTCACCTCATTATGAGACATAAAAGGAAGCCCAAAATCATAAATTGGACGTGCAGAAATGCAATCAAACCAGTCCCTTCCTTTGCACTGTTCAAGGCCCTGCACAACTGCTGACTGAGTAATAAAATTCCTAATAAATGGCTTGCCTGTTTCGATTACTGGGACACTCCTCAATCTGTACTTTGAGAGCAGCAGCAACACAGTCAACATGGAACTATCTGTTGAAACGGGAAGAAAAGGAGCCCACCGAAAGGACTTAACTATTGATCTCACCTGGACAATAAGTAACAATAACAAGTACGGGATCAATTTACAAGAAGGGGAAAGAAAAGTTGCCTCCAAGAAAATAGACCCTTATGGCTAGTGTAAACTAGAGTTCAGCCCAGCTGGTTGCATTTGTATTGATAAAAAATGGTTGGAAACTTTGTTTTCACTGTAAAAGGGGAAGGATATAACTGAAATACAATACTATGCCTTGGTTAGAAACTCGGTAGATTCTACAATACCCATTGTCAGTGGGTTTGGACTCAAGTCAGGGCGAGAAGCTAGAAAGAAGCTGTTCTCCCCTTCTTATGCTGTTCATTTGCTATCCATTAAGGGGTGGATGATCAGCACTCACTCGTCTAGTGTTCCATCAAGGAGATAACCCCACTCCCCCACGCCTCCAAGCAGAAAGTAAGAGGGTCCAACAAATTATTTCAAGATTGGGTAATTATGTGCATCTCATCCAGTCATTTCTAGCCTACCCATGCTGGATGAGAGTAATTGAATATGAAGTTCTCGCCATGGGTGCAATGTAACATGACTATTCCATTGTTCTCTCTATAAGGTCAAAATGTGAAGGCTAGAAAGTTTGAATTTCATTAGGAATCTGAGATGAATGTAGGATATGATGCATCTTTTCAAAATTAGATAGTTGAAACAACAGAAAAGAAACAGAAAATCTATTGAAGTATATCACTTGAACAATATCGATATAAGTTACCGGATACTTTGTCCATATGTGGACAGTTGAAACAGTTAACCTGAAACATCAAAGTTTAAATTTAAAAAAACATGGCAACCCAGCTGTCTGATTCTCCAATGAAGATAAACTTACTGTGGTTGACTTAAAAGGCTCCTCCTGAAGGATAACTTTGTAGAAGTCTTCCCCCAGAGAATCAGCGGCTGTTGGAGCATCTTTCCCCATCACTCTGTCTGCAGCCATACCACCAGCCACTGCTGCACCAACTGCAGCAACAGTCAACCCAGCAACTGCAATAGGACCAGTTGCACCTAAAGCCAGTACACCAAGTGCACCAACAGCACCTGCACCTACTCCAGCAGCTGTTGCAGAACCTGCTGATATAGCAAGTGCAGCAAGTTCTGCATTCTCTAACACCCAGAGAATGATTGCAGAATAGTCTACTATTCCTAAATACCTATCCCTCCAATCCAAACTAGTTCCTGCATCTGGATTTCTTACTGGAGCAGACATAATCTTGCATTCAGATAGAATTTTAACAGCATCAGCAATAGATGCATCTGCTTCGATTTCAATAACTGCAAAGAAGAGAATGATATATCTCAGGCATTGAAAGGTTAGAAGGAAGAGTTTTATATCTCATCCAAGGGAGTCTTTAGAAATAAATATTAATATAAGCACTAATCAAGCGATTTTGCAGAAATTGGTAACTAGTGGATACATAAACATGTGTATTTGTGCACCGTGCACGTATATCCTTCACAGGGTATCTTTAAACAATGAGTTCCACAAACAAAATGTGGTTTGCTGTCTAAATAAATCATCTGTGTTTAATGAGAAAGCATATGTTGCTTGCCTCACATACACAAGCGTGTACACACTGTTACAGTTAATGTGCTAGAAAGTTAAACTATTTTATGTTTATTTTGTCTTCTTCTACACCATGTAGAGAGTAACTTTAGTTGGGTCTTTTTCACTTTTTGTTAACCCGGGTTAGTTGTAAGAAGTGTATAGAAGAAGCTTCTATTTGGTTTGCTCAATAAGCCATTTTCATAGCAGAACCAAGCACATTGCTCTCAAACATCACTTCATTCGAGATGCCATTGAAGGTGGAAAAATTGAACTAGTGTATTGCAGGACCCAAAAGCAATTAGCTGATATTTTCACCAAGCCATTGGCAAGAGAAAAATTTGAAGAATTAAGAGAAGCATTAGGAGTCCAACAACAGCACATTAAGGGGGAGAATGTTACAGTTAATGTGCTAGAAAGTTAAACTATTTTATGTTTATTTTGTCTTCTTCTACACCATGTAAAAATTAACTTAGTTGGGTCTTTTTCACTTTTTGTTAACCTGGGTTAGTTGTAAGAAGTGTATAGAAGAAGCTTCTATTTGGCTTGCTCTCTACCTTACTTCAATCTATTTGTACGAAGTGTATAGAAGAAGCTTCTAAGAAGAAGAATAAGAAGATTTCAGCCATTCTCTTGCTCTGTTTTTGCTCTTTACCTTCAATCTGTTGCATGTAAATCCTCTGTTCTATAATATTTTCTCCACTTTGCATGCACCCACAGGTAGCTGAAACTATAGCCAACACCTAACACACACACACACAGAAACCGGGAAGCATGTAGACAAAGACTCTAGCACAAGAGCATATACCAATTCAAGAAATGATTCCTTTAGATAATATAATCTTGTGAGCAAAAGCAACCATATTCATGGGTTTCAACTGAAAATTAAAAAAACATCAATATTGTAATAATGCAAAACAGATAACAAGTAGTAACCAAAAAGCTTTGCAGAATGGTAAAAGAGTGCATAGATAGACAACGAGACCAGTTTCAGTACTTGATGAAGAGTCAAAGCTCACTGTTCCAACAAAATGCAGAAATTTCAACTGAATTTAGAGACTTGAGTTTTCTACATGACCATGGGGAAGAATATAGGGAACCACCGTAATTATTACTCAAYTCCTCCATCAAACTCCAAAACAAAAGATAAATAAAAATGTACATTGAAAGAATTCAGAGAAAATTTCAAAGTTCAAAAGTAAGTGATGACTGTAAATAAACAAGAATGGGAATAATCACCTTTACCCCCTGGAACGTCTGGAAAGGATGAAACTGGAATCCTGGTAAACGCTCCCGTTAAAGACTCCTGTAAATGATGTGGCAATTTTTTCCTTGACTGGACGGTATCAAAATACGCATCATTGCTTGGAACTTTTGAACATGACTTAGCTTCTTGCGGTTGTGCCATTTTCTATTCAAGAAACCAATTACACTTTGAAGTTAATTACCTGCTAACTTGAGAAATCATGCCCTAAGCACATTCATCGCTTGCAATAATAGTAGGTAAGAACTGAAACGATTTAGCAGACGAAGTCTCAACTTGGGCCAGAGCCAGACCGAGACTGCCCCGACGCCACATTTCTCTGCAATTGAAGAATGTACAGAGGTTCACCATAAGTTGGACTCATTCACACCGGCCGGTATGTGGCGAGTGGCGACTTGGCTCATTTCCTTTTTAAGAGATGAAGGTGGTATCTGGTAACGATCCAATGGAATGCTTCTAGTGTTTCTGATTTTTTGCTCCGAGAACATCAGAAACGTTGTGACAGAGCGTTACCAAGTGCCACCAATCAAAGAATCAAATACAATTGTTCATTCCCTTTTTCATTCTCATAGATCCCGACGAACCAGAGAGTCATAACAGAGATACTGAATTTTTATAAGACTGATCGAATGCAAAAGAATTGGATAGGAATAAACCGAAACCATGACGTACCTTTCCGCTTGAAGTTGAGTAGATTGGAAGAGTATAGGGATTTCTGAGACAATTAATCCGTTCTTCCTCCCCTCCTGTCTATTTGAAAAACAGTTACGAAATTGAGATTTATATCTGAGCTCTAGTTTTGCGAAGTGTGCCACTTGGAGATGCGTGTCCAACATTTTTTCTGTCTTGAACAAGTCACGTGCAATGTTTGGTCGGTTGCTAATGCAACTGTTTCGGTTCAACTGTCAAGGGAATTGGATGGTGGAGGGCTTGAGAGCCCTTAGCTTGCCCCGCTACAAACTAGGGCTGATAATAAATCGGAAATTCAATTTTATCCAATTTTAAACCAATTTAATTCGGATGTCCGATAACAATAACATCCATAGCCGCATGCATGTTTGAGACGTGTGACTATAGTGTTGGCGTTGTGTGCGGTCTAAAATTTCGTTAGGCTGTGTTTGGAAGAGGTCTAAAACGTTTTTTACACTGAATCGTAAATATATATGACCGTTGTATTTTGAAATCGATGTAAAAAGATGTTTAAGTTTTACATTAATAAAATTGATGTAGTTTTTACATTGATTATCGATGTAAAACTTTAAAGGAGATAGAGGTTTTACATCTATCATCGACGTAAAATTACACTCCATTCAAATGTATGCAAAATTGAACCGGTGTGTAGTTTTACGTCGATAATAATTACACTCTTTTATCAAACGCGTACAAAAGCGAACCGATGTAAATTTTGCATTGGTTCTTGATTTACATCACATCCAAATACAGCCTTATTATTATTTTTTTTGTTATTTTGTTGTTGAGTTCAAARGGATAAAACTTTGGCTGTTGGGGGCCAAATAGACCTAGCAATTGGGTTGGGTGGGTTGGGTTGAATTTCGAGTTGAGTTGTCAAATGCTAGACCCTAACCCTAAATCATCGGGTTAGGATTGACCCATGGGTCAATTCGGGTCATCCCAAAAAATAATTAAATTTTAAAAAATAAAGAAACATTACATGAAAAATGTCAAAATTAAAAGAATTAACCTACAAATTCCAAATATAAAATAAAAAACTTGAACATTTAACAATTTAAAGAGTAAATAATAAAAGGTAAAGACTAAACAGAAAAAATTAAAGAGTTGAAACTTCTAACAGTGCATAAATAATCCAATTAGACTAGACCATCGAGTCAGCGGGTTGACCCATGACCCAACCCAACCCAGTTTTTTTCGGGTCGGGTCGTCGGGTCATTTTCACATTCGGGTAGCTAAATATGAGACTATAACCCTATTTTTTTGGGTTGGGTTGAGTYAACTTTTTGCCAGGGTCTAGGGCCAAATGTTGAGAGCGTTTTTAAGTTGTACGTTCACTAATTACTATTTTACCCTACTCTTTTGTGGTCAAAAAGAAAAAAAGGGGCAATTACTATTTTACCCTACTCTCATAGTAACGTGGCATTTTCAAGAATGTTCTTAATAACATAGGCTCTTGGCCCCCCAACAACCAAAGTTTTTCCAAAGAAGTTTGGTTTCAATTAAGGTTCAAAATATCGATACAGGGTATACTGACTTGTATCGGTACTGATTTTTTGTTTTATTTTATTTTTTTTCGAATCTGATTTAAAGGGGCTAGCTTAAGGCCGGTCTACCCCCTGAACCACTCGACGATCCAAACCATCCCCTATAGGGACATATTGAAAGGGTCCCATTACAATATGTATCGATATTTTGAACATTGGTTTCAATAGCCTTACACTCGAGGCTTATCCCTCGCCTTTGGGCCTTTGACCTTTGGCCTCAAAATGCTTGAGGCTTGGACCTCAATTGTTTGGCATGTTAATGTTAAATATGGAGGAGGTTTATAAAGGGGTAAAATAGAAATTTAAGATAAAACAAATGTCTTGTTATATATATATATATATATGTAAACATACAAATAATAAATAAATGCATAAAAATGTATAAGAAAATAGTCTGTTTTCTTGTTCATATTTTGTATTATTCATGCTTTATTCTTACCCATCTGCCCATTTACCCAATACTTGATAATCTATTTTGCATTACATAAGTGGTCACTCTTCACTAATGCTTATAAGTGCAAGAAACCAAATAGAAATGCTTTTTTCTTAAAACATTGTTGGTTCATATCCTTGAACTGAAAATTTGGACTTATATTATTTTGTTCTTCTAGTGTTTAGATCTTAAGAAAAAAAATACCTTAGTAAGATTCTAGCCAATGCAAGGTTCATAGTATTGATACAACACACCATATCTTTGGAGTACTGATACCCTTTTTAAGGTACTTAAAAAACTCTTTTTAATAATTAAATAACATAAAACTAACATTGTTGTAACATTTAAAAAAAAAAAAGAAAAAAATGACGTGCATGGTTCAAAGTGTTGATACTCGGTACACTCATTTTGATGTATTGGGGTGTATCAATACTATTTTCATGTCTAATATATCAAATAAGCCAAATAAGATTTTAATTTTATGTTTTTCATGTCTTTATTATTTAGGGATTATATCCTTTTTTTTTTGTTTGAGGCTTATACTTTACCCCTATCAGACCCAACATACTCACTTTCACCTTTAGCTTTTCAAAACCTTGGTGCTGGTGGAAGTAAGGGATGATTATTTTCAGCCTGGCCGGTTTGACCCAGTTCAAAAATTCCAAGCATGAGGCTAGCTTTTACTCTCAGGCCTGTTTTGAGTCTASGACTAGGGGTGGCAAATGGGTGGGTTGGGTAAGGGTTGAATACCAACCCACCCATATTGACACACCAACCCACCATGATCCATCATCAATCCTTGTTAAAGGGTCCTAACCCACCATGACTCATCCATATTGACCCACTTGACCCATCCATATTGACCCTTAACCACCATCACCCATACTAACCCACCTATCCTCACCTATAGTACAAAAATGGGTTGGGACGGCTAGTATGGCTGAAATAATAATTTTTGAGAGAATAATCTCTCTCTCAAGACTGCCACATGACAAAAATGAGTTACGTCAACTCATATACCCGAAAATGCAAAAATTATAGATAAATGTAGAAAATAGTAGAAAAATTGCAGAAAATTCAGAAAAAATACAAAAATGCAAAAACAATACTAAAAAATTGCAGAAAATGCAGAAAAATACAAAAAAAAAAATCATAAAATGTAGAAAATACCATAAAATTGCAAAAAATGTAGAAAAATACCAAAAAATTACAGAAAATGAAGAAAATTTGTAGAAAATGCAATTGCATAACTTTTACAAAAGTGCTTTTGCAAAAGTACTTTTATAAAAGTACTTCTATAGAAGTATTTCTGTAAAAGTGCTTTCTTAAAGGTACTTTTGTAAAAGTGTTTTTACGAAAGCACTTTGTAAAAGTGCTTTTGTGTAAAAGTACTTTCGTAAAAGTGCTTTTGTAAAAGAACTTTTGTAAATATTCTTTCATAAAGTACTTTTATGTAAGTGTTTTTATGCTTTCATAAAAGTGTTTTCATAAAAGTACTTTCATAAAAGTGCTTTTGTGTAAAAATACTTTTTTAAAAGTGCTTTTATGCTTTCAGAAAAGTACTTTTATATTCATGTAAAAGTACTTTCGTAAAAGTGTTTTCATAAAGGTACTTTCATAAAGTGATTTCGTGTAAAAGTGTTTTTGTAAAAGTACTTTCATAAAAGTACTTTTATAAAAGCGCATTTGTGTGAAATTGCATGTGAACACGAAAGTTAATAAAATCTATTTTATTTAACTTTTAATCCCAAAATGAAATGTGGCATGGTGGTTTGAAATTGTAATTAGAAATGGACGCGTTAGGAAGCCTGAGTTTGAGTCACTTCAATTGCTATTTTTTTGAGATTTGGCGAGTATAGATAGAATTGAGTTTGACCCAACCCATCCTGACCCGCGTGACCCAACCCATCCTGACCCTAATGAGTTACTTGACCCATATTGACCTGCTAATAGATTGGGTGGGTCAAATGGGTTGGGGTCAAGATTGCTAGCCCTACTAGGACTCCGAGCGATCTTGGACCCAAAACATTTTTTTATGCTAGGGAAAACATTAGGGGGGGGGGGGGTGTGCACACACATGTTAAATCAAATTCATATACCTATTCAATTTAAATGTTCTCTGCAACACTAAATTTGCGATCTTTGTAAATACTGTGGCCTAAAGAATAATTATAAAAATGTTTTATTAGGTATCACAAATTATTAGTTATTGCAAAAAGCATTTGTTTTGTAAATTTTCATACAACCATACTTGTCATGATCTACGAATACCCTAGTAAAATTAGAAATCTTTGCTTAACAGTTATTATAAAAAACTAAAGAAAAAGTTTACTTGTAATGGTTCTGATTGCCTTTGTTTTATCTTCTCTTAATATGAAAAGTAGGGATGAGCAGTGAGCTAGGGGTGTCAATGCTATTCGAAAATCCGATTTTGAATTCAAGATTCAACATAATCAAATCGAATTCGAATATTTAATTGGTTGAATTTGGATATGACCTAATTTGATTCGATAAATATCCGAATTCGATCGATTACTTAATTCTTATATAAAATATTTAAATGTTTCATATTATAATTTATATATATAATAATTAAATTATATAAATAATTTATATATTTATATAAATAAAATATTTATTATATATATTAATGACCTAAAATAATTAATTGATTAAATTTGAATCAAATCGAATATTCAAATATTTAGGCCATATTTGGGAGTGCTTAAGTTAAAAATAAGTGCTTAAAAACAAGTGCTTATTCAAATAAGCATTTGGTACCCAACTTTTTCAAGTGCTTATTTTTTAAAATAAGCACTTATTTTATATTGGGCGTTTGGTAGTCTTTTTCTCTAATAAACATTTGTTACTATTTTGTCCTTCATTTTCTTTCAAATTTTCAAAATATACCCTTAGCTTTGAAAGTACTTTTATTAAATTACTTTTATAAAAACACTTTTATGAAACTACTTTTATGAAAACACTTTTGTGAATACACTTTTGTGAAAACACTTTTATAAAAGTACTTTTATGAAAGCACTTTTATAAAAACACTTATAAAAGTAATTTTAAGAAAGTAACCTTACAAAAGCACTTTTGTGAAAGTACTTTAATGAAAGCACTTTTAGAAAAACACTTTTATAAAGTGCTTTCATAAAAGTGCTTTTGTAAAAGTGCTTTTGTAAAAGTACTTTCACAAGTGTTTTTGTAAAAGTGCTTTCATTAAAGTACTTTTATAAAGTGCTTTTGTAAGGGTACTTTCATAAAAGTACTTTTATAAAATTCATCTAGGGATATTATTATAAGTGGTATTTTAAAATTCAACTAGGGATAATTTTGGAAGAAAATTTGAATAAATGTTTATACTTAAAAAAAGTTGAAAATTTGGGCTTAAAAAAGAAGCCCTTATTTTGGGATTATTTCCCAAATACCAATAAGTGCTTAATGGCCCAAATAAGCACTTATTTTTAAGCACTCCTAAACATGGATTTAATCAAATTCAAATATTAATTTTCAATATCTGTTGKATATCGAATCGAATTTGAATATCAGATTTCTTAATCGGATTCAAATTCAGATATTGTCTGATTAGATTTGAATTTGATCCGTTTACACCCCTACAGTGAGCAGCACCGGCTGGTCCCCCAACTCGAGCCCAAATAAGAGGGTTAGATATGGGCCAAAACACAAGCCCAACCAGAGGACTTAGGCAGGATTTAAATTCTAGAATATGTATTTATATTATATTATATTTGGTATTTGGTGATATGCACCACTAATAACCTCATCCCTTAACATACTGGAGCAAACCAGCTAACATACCAATTGAGCCACCCCTCGGTTGGCAAGTATGTATATTTTATACCTTATTAATATCAATGACTACTTAATGACCCCGTACTTAGCATGAGAAAACTGGTACATATTTTATTTTAGTTCCAGTGTAAAAGTTGCAAGTCTTGGAGCATTTCAGTCGAGTTTTTCATTTGATTTAGTACACTATATCAGGTTTCTTTTTGCATTTAGATAATCTACTTTATCTTGAAAAATAGAACCTACACGAATATGACATCTCGAAAGCCTTATTGATTTTTTTTTTTTTTGAATTTGGGTTATGTAATTAAAACTAGATTTGATTTGTTATAAGAACTCCATTTGGAAGGAGTACAAATACAAATAGGTAGAGTGCAAAAGCTTGTATTTTGTATGTATTTGTATCTGTAGTTTTTGGGCTCAGTTTGGAAGGAGTACAAATACAAATATGTAGAATGCAAAACCTTATATTTTGTATTATTTTGTATGTATTTACATTGTACATACTTGTATTTGTATTCTTTTTGGGCTCAGTTTTGGAAGGAGTACAAATACAGATATATAGAGCAGAAAACCTTGTATTTTGTATGTATTTGCACTGTACATATTTCTATTTCTATTCCTAAACTGAGCTTTTTAGGCTCATTTTGAAGGAGTACAAATACAAATATGTACAATGCGAATATATATAAAATAATACAAAATATAAGGTTTTGTACTCTATAAATTTATATTTGTACTCATTCCAAACTGAGCCTAACTTAATACGTATGAATTGAAATTTACATTTTTTATAAGTTATAAAAAAAGTTATAGGGAAAAGCACTAAATCAGAGAGAGAGAGGAAAAACCATATTAGATGAAAGAAAAAAAAAGAATTTTAGAAAGAAGCTAGTTAGGGGAGAGGTAGACTATAATGATTCATCATGCCAGATCACAGATTCACACGTGTTAATTGAGTTTTAATTTTTTTGTAAATATAAAAAACCATGGGCAGAGACGTGTTAATTTAGTTTTTCTTGTCTCAAATGGATTACATCAAGTTGAATGAGTTTCCTGAAGGCTATGTTTGGTTTGAAGTATAGGTATGGAAAGGAAGGAAAAGATAGGTTACCAGGTTAATAGGTTTCCGTATCTTTTCCTTCCTTTCCCTATTTTTTCCTTCCAACCAAACACTGCTAAGGCCAATCAATTTGGTATGTTTAATAAGATAATTAATTAGAATATTTTGTATTGATGGCAGCCTATATATGCCAAATTGAGGAACTAAGAGTGAAGGTACATGTGAAGTTGGTCAATATGCTTAATCTTGATTTTTGAAATAAACTGCCACATCAGCAAAATCATATTACCTTTGATGATTTGAAAAACAAAATTATACATATTGGTGAAGACCTCCTTAATGCTTGTTGAGTGGGTGGGGATAGAAAATTAGAAAATACCATTTCTTCAATGTTGAGACTAGACCAGACTAGACAATTAATGAATTGGTCAACCCACAACCCAATCGCAAAACTGGGTTTTGAATTATCTGGTTCTCCAAATTATGTTTTTCTTTTTTCTTTTTCATTTTTTTCCCTTTGTCATGCCAAATGGTTGGAGTAGTCAATTTGCAACCCAGCAGCTTGAATGGACTGATCTTTAGCCGGATTTAAGAACATTGCTTTTGTTACTGATTTTTCCTATGTTTTGAATGGAGAGAAGGATTGTTTCAGAAAAACGTATGAAATGGCACTGAATACCAAAAACAACTAAAATGATATTTATCAAATTAAGTAATATAAGTAGGTAATAATTTTAATTGCTATGTCCTATATGTAGAACTAGTGTACTATCATTGTAATATCTAATAGAGTAAATACATTTTCTTAACTAATATTATTAATTAATAAATAGCGAAAGGTACCAATAATCTAGAGTATTATAAAATAGATACTTATGTTGGTTTTGATGCAAGTCATAAAAATTAAATATTGATGATATAATGTCAATTTATGTCTTCTCTACGATTTACTAGTTTACACATGCACGGCACAAGCCTTTATGCATGCTGGTAATCATAAAATCAAGCACTGTCTTCCGTGAGTTTGGATATCCTATCCGCAAAAACCCTACCCACACCATCCTTAGGACACTAAAACTGTACATTGATAGGAAATATCTCCCCATGGATGACAAATTAACAACAAATTAGTACAGAAATGTTCTGTTGTACGGCTGTGGTATCCTGTGGACTCCTTCTAACTTTGATTAAATTTTAATATTTAATACTTTATTTATAAAATCTCAATTACAAGGGAGTCCATTATGGTATATGCAATAGAAGAAAGAAGATCAGCCCCACCATTGAATGAATCTTACCTAATAACAGAGAAGGGGGAAGATGGTGTTTATAGGGGAACGAATGTAATACACTTGAGAAACCAATAAAACAATTTGGGTACTAAAGAAAAAGTCATCTGATTTATGATTTATGAATTAGATCAAGCTTGAGCATTTATTAGGCTCCACCAAAAAATGCAATGATGGTAATCTAAACTTCATTTAGATGTATGGTTTTTAAAATCGGATCAGATTGGACGGTTGGACCGGAAAAATCGGGAATCAGTTAAGTGATCAGTTCCATTTTACCCCAGAACCGTTATTTCATCAAAAACCATTGATTTAATCAGCAAATCACTGACCTGGACAGTCGAATCATTCAAAGCGTCCAACGATTTTGATCATTTTTTATTTTTTTTATCAGAATGGGCCATATGTTCGATTCAAACAGTCGGACTGTTCGACTCAGAAACTGGACCTCTAATCAGTTCGATGTCCGATTCGATTTTAAAAACCTTATTTAGACGGTTGACATAATCTTTTCCCAGCGTAGGGTTGAACTATTCGCTTCATAAAACGAAAAATGCTTAATCCAACAAATGAACAAACTCGAGAGGTAATGTAATGAATTGATGAACTTGTCCTACCTTCGATTTTAGCAATAGAATGCAACATCTTTATGATACATGTGGATACAAAGAGGTGAGAAGTATAGCCAGAGTGAAACTTGACCTTAGGCTTAGGGTTTCAACTTTCAGGGTTTCCCTTCTTCGTTGATGGATAGCTAGCTCCTTCGGGCGGCGGATAACAATGCCACGTTGCACATGTTTGGGAGCAAGAGACAGACATACTGACGTGGCCATGATTCCACCTGCGGATCGAATGTCCTACAATCCTTGGAGGAGGAAGTAGTAGCGAAGGTGAACTCTCAAGTCTCAATAACCAATGCCATATTATCCACATATGTATACCAACATTAATTGTCAGAAAGAAAAGTGATAACGATCGATCAATGTAGTTCGCTTGCTGTCACCTACGCCTTGCAAATTTTTCTTCGTCAAGCAGCCCAACCAGCATTAAACAACATCCCAGCGGTCAGCTATCCAGAAAAGCCGTCATCWATTGATATTGATATGGTCCCTATTGTCAACCGGAGACGCAGATGCACTCTTAGAGGTTGAAAATGGCAATGCAGGTGGGAGAAACATCAGGCTTCCTTGTTGAGTATTCGACGAGGCCGATCTGTTCAAGAAGCTCGATGCGCATCCATTCCCATTCGGAGTCGTCGATGTGTAGGGGGGAACAGCAGAAAATTGTTCACCCCACTTCAAGTTCTGGCCAAAATTCTCACCACTGCCTTGATTTCCCTGGGTCGTCGTCCCAGAATTTCCGGAACCTACTATCGATGCTATTGCGGCTGCTAGCGCCGATCGGAAACTTGGGTCTGATGTGATCGCCTTGGTTGCAGCGGCGATCGACTCCGTTAAAGACTGCTGAGAAGGAGCTGCAGGATTATTCTTTTGCATGTAAGCCTGATAGAAAGACTCTTGAGGTTGCCTTCCAAGACTCAAAGATCCAAGTTGCTGCTGGTTCTTATTGTAGGGCTGGGTACCATAGCTTAGGTACCCATTGCCCCAGGTTGGTTGGGAGTTAGACTCTGTAGAAGAAAAGTTAAAGCTTGTTGGAGAGTATCTTTGAGCTGGGAAGTTTGAAGTAGATAACCTATTGAGCTGAAAGGAGGACGATGATGCAGACGACGAAGGGGGGGCAGTGAGGTCGAGAGTAATCGTGGGGTATGTGGTAGAGGATGAGACTGAAGAACTCGGTAGGTAAAATGACGGCCTAGCTCTGGTATTATCTGCAAGGTTAAAGTTTAGGCCATGGAGGTCGGCCGCGGAGGTGGTGTTTGTAGCCAACGGCCCAAGGCTTGCACCAGCAAGGGTTGGTCGGGAGCTAATTGAGCCGGACATTAGCATGGAAGCGGCCGCTGAAGTGGTGGAAGCCATGGCTGTGGCTGAAACCGGTAGGGGGTGGTTGTGGGTTCCTTCATATGTGGTGATCAAAATGGACATGTCCTCGGCACATCTTTGCACCTGAAATTTATAATGAAGGGAAAAAAAAATACAGAACAATCAAACATCTTTGGCAACAAGAAATAAGAGGAGATCAATTGTGTGAATCATATATCTCCTACAACAGCGGTGGAAACTAAGCGCTGCACTACCTGTTTTCTTACTGGGCATGCTGGTGCAACGGTGCAACGGTAGTATGCGCGAGGGCATGGGTTCCCTTTGGCGATTTTCTGCCCATATTTCCTCCATTGGCATCCGTCGTTCATCTGTTAAATACATAAACCAGTAGTCAGTAGATATATTCCATATATAGTTCATCTTAACTGAAGAGTGGATGAAGACTGATCAAACTAACCGTTGGAGTATCGCATCTTGCTCTGACAGAAACCCTAGCTTTCTTCACTTGGGTCTGCTGTGAAACTTCATCATCTCCACTTCTCATGGTCTTGAGAAACTTACTGGGTGGCCATGTCTCCCCGGCCTCCTCTTCCTTGGGTTCTTCGAGGCTATTTTCCGGGCTTGGGTTCGAGGCTCTCTCAGTGGAACCCGGGTTAGAGACTTCAAATTTGCAGTCCAACCCAAGAGATAATCCTTCGTGGTCGTCCTCTTTACATTTGCTAGAATTGCTGTTCTTTTCTTCCTTTTTAGGTTCAGTTGAAATTCTTCCAAGGCTAAGCGAAACAAGTTCAGGCTCTTCAATTTCTTGGTCTTTAGGGGCTGTATCTGCAAATTGCGTAGCTGCTTCTTGTTGGGCGATGCCAAAGAATTTTGTTTGGAGTGATTGGTAGTCCTTCACAATTCGAGCTAAGACCATTTTCAATCTTTCATTTTCTTCTCTCACTTCACCCATTTCGGCTTTGGCAGATTCAAGCTTCTCCTCCTATATAACAAAGTATTAATTAATACAACTAATAAGCTCCTCAATAGTTGTGATTAAGAAACAACAAATATGGGAATATACAGTTGATCTTACCTGATCCTTCTTTATTGAAGATGGTGCTCTTAAAATATTTTGCATAGGTGATGTTTCAGTAGACACCTGTATATGAATCAAAGCTAATCTGTCAAAACACCCAGCAGAGGTGAAATTCAACCAAATAGACAGGGAATTTAAATTATCTTTTATCGAACCAGGTTCTTCCCAAACATATAATAAATTTTCTGGCAAAAGTCGTGGAAAATTTTTTCCTTGGTGTCTCCTATGGTGACCCACCTAGATTGACTTCATGGGAGCTATGCTAGAGATTCATGGGCAAATGGCAATTACTGAAAATTAAGTCATAGACAATTGAAAATCCCGCTGCCAAAGATAGAGTATTATTCTTCTTAGATGGTCAACAAAAAAAAAATTGTTCAATAAAAAGGTGCATTTATAGACCCTAAGTCGAACGCCTATGATCTTTGGACCACATATAACTTCGAAATGGGCTATCAAATCAATGGTATGGATCTGTTATCACTTGCCAACAATGGCAATAAGAGTGGTTGCACGCCCATAGCTTTTGATAAACTGTCTAATTGGAAGAATGATTATATATATTGCATCCACAACCATTATGTTGTAGATAATTAATTACCATCATGTGATGTAGTTCAGAAAACCTTTTTCCCAATTTTCAAATACAGTTGCTTATTGAAATCAAGAGGTGTTAATTAAGGATTTATCTTATCTGGTTGGGTTGAAGAAAAAAAGAAAGAATTAAAGAAAATGATTTTAATTTGTTCAAGCTTATCTAGATAATAAGCCATACATCAACTGGGAAAATATATAGAGAACTCTATGGTTATTTTAATTCAATTATTTGGAGAAAAATGAACCATTTAATATGAATTCTTTATCAAGATATAACTGAATGTTGATAATCAAAAGAAGAGTTCAATTTTTTACATTGTTTCTTCTAACAGTGAATATCCTTAGGTGTGTTGTGTACGTACCTGTTTGCTAATGGTTGTCTCTTTTTGGTTAGGTGAAGACGGCTTTGAACCGTTATCGTCGTGGACTTGTCTTCCATCACAGAGCTGAAAGAAGAAACCAATTGAAAGCTATATTCAGTAACAAATCTAGCAACCCTTGAAAATTCTCTACATATCAGTCATCACCGTGGCAATTAGCAGACAAAGAAGCTCTACCGTGAAAATTCAGATATCTTCAAGAAGATTGAATTGCACAGTGAATCTTTAGAGTAGCTTAAACTAAATCATTACGTAGAGTTTATCCAAATTAAATCTTCATCAACTAACGATGCAATTCGATTAAATTCAGTAATTCAATTCAACCCAATATCTAAAACCGAGCTCATGGCTTTCTTAGACCATTTGCTAGAGATGACAGAAAATAAATCTCATACTATTCAGAAGAACAAATTGAAGAAATATATTCCAGGACCTCTAGTTCATCAAGGGATCGAATGAAGGAGAAAGAACAATTCACCTTTTCAAGCTCTCTAGAGCCGTCGTCATCACCGCAGGACTGATCAGCTCTCTTCTCATCCTTAATTGGACCTCCAAGACAAGATCTTATCGTGGCATCCATGGCTTAGAAGATCTCCTCCCTTTTTCTCTTCCAAGTTCAACTTTCTCTTTGCCGTATCCATTGCAGTTCCCCTTTTATAAAAAGAGAGCCCCTGTTTGACTTGTTTGATATGTTTAAAAAAAGAAATTCAAACCCAAATACTTTTCTATTCTTCCCATCACACAACCATCAAATAATGCTCATAAAAAAACCACTTAACCTTCAAAATGTCAACAGCCCAAGTGCACTCTAAGAAGCAAAACGACATTTTTTTAAATTATTGTTATTTTTTTTCAATAATGGACAAGTTAAGAGAAGAAGAATTCATTCAACGCCCATGAATTAAGATATACCCAAACGGTGCCTTTTAGTCATCCCACAAGAGAGAGAGAGAGAGATGCTTCATGCCGCATTGGGCGGTCCCAAGCTTAGTACCATCTTTGAAGGTTCGTTCAGGTAAACGTCACATGGCCGCCGGTGACTGGAGTTTATACTTTTTACCTATTTGGGGAGCCAGTTCGTCCGGTCAGTGGAATCCGTTGATGTCAGATTCCAGTCAAAGCTTAAAACGCGTGCTTAACAAGGTGTTGGATGACTCAGGATGGGGTTGTCCAAGCCACCGTCCGCTGTCGGCGTCACCGTCAACACTTAAACCAGAATTAAGATTTGTTAATTACTGTATAATCTGATCATTTGCTAAAAGCCAAAAACTGGACGGATGGAGAGAATTTGGCAAGTCCAATTCCCTTAAAACGGACCTGGTTTTTTTTTATGTTACTAGTAAGCGTGTAATTCTAGGTTTTTTTTTAATATTAGTAAAAACTAAAAAGTGTGTTTGTAGTAATTCTAGATGATGATAATGATAATAATAATAATAATAATAATAATAATAATAATAATAATATATTTATAAATTTTTATAAATATGTATTTTTTTAATTTTATTTTTTATTATTAATCGAATGCAAATTGCAAAATCGAAATCTGATTATATAAACATTTTATCCAAATATGTGATAATTTGATTGAGTTATGAAGTTACAAGTATCAATGATAGGCCAATATGCTTTACTAGATTCTTCTTTTTGTAATCTTTTATATTTTTTGTGTATCTTTTTTTTTGTTCATTTATCAAAAAAATGTAAGTTTTAAATAAATGGAATGAGATGTGAACAGTAATAGTTCAATTTATAATTTAAACGTCACAAAGTAAATAAGGAATAAATTCTAAAATGAGTATTTTAGAATTATAGATGTAAATATAGAATTATACAATCATATTCATATTTTTTAATAAATATGAATAAGATTGTTATATATTTTTAATAGTGGTGTAAATATAGAATCTTATTCATATTTTTAATAGTGGTGTAAATATAGAACTATAGATGTGTTCAATTTTTTCTATATATATTTTTTGTATTTCTCTGTGTAAAAATAATTTTGATATGTCACACTTGTTTTTGGTTTAATATGATAATTATATGATATTATACATGTGTCTTAATGTTTTTTATTTTTGTAAAATTTATGTATTTTTTTATTTTTATAATTTTATAATTTATTAATTTTTATTATTTATTTATGACATTAAATGTTAACACATTTGACCCAAAAGTTGAACTATTGATTTTTGCCAAACAGTAAAATAATTTCATTTTGAATAGTTTTAAATTATGTATTTCATTTTCATTATCAATTATTACACTTATTGTTTTAATTTGATTAATAAAAATATCAAAAATTTGTCTAATTTTTTCTATGTTTTTTGTAATTTTCTATATTTATTCTTATTTTAAAAATTTTATTACCTAACTATGACTTCATAGGTTGATCAATTTGATTTCAATGGTTGAATTTCTTAACCACCACTTGGACAACGAATGGTTTTGTTTTTTAGTCTGCTTTAAAATATATGAATTTATGTTGTTAAAAATATCAACATAGATCTAATTAGTAGCATTTATTAGTAAAAAATAATTTAAATATAGGATTTAATAAGAAAATTGAAAGTTAATAATTTAAGTATAAGATTTAATGAGGGGATTAAATGAGGTGAGAAATAATAATTAAAGTTACATTTTCAACTCTTACCATTAGAGATGGATTAAATACATAATTATGGGCATTTTAGTAGCTATAAAAGCTGACATTAAAACTATAATAAAATGACTTTTATACCCTTTCTAACACAAAGAAATAAACTGTAATTTTAGTCCGAAAAAGTTTCACATTGCATTCCCACTTTTATATATAATATAGATATAGATATGATCATCTCAACCATCCCTCAAATGGACTCCAACCAAGAAATCAAAGTAGAGAGGGTCAAGATCGGATTCATACATGTCTCCTTAAAGTCATTCATTTCTAGAGTGAAACGGGCCCACCCAGCTGTGTTTAAATTTCATTTTCATGTTGAAGGTAGGGACCGCTTTATAAGTTTCTATGACGATAATCTAACAATTTCATGTAATTAAACTAACAATATCAGGTGATTACATCGATAAATTTGAAATTCGAAATTAATTAATTCAGTAGAGGTGCTCCGCGAATTACAGAATTGTAAATCCATCACCTAATTACCATTAGAAAAAATGGATAGAAAGTAAACAATTGTTGATATTGTTAGAAAAAATGGATAGAAAAAATCGTATTCATATTACCATTAGAAAAAATGGATAGAAAAAATCCATGACGATAATCCATCACCTAATTCAGGTGATTACACTAAACAATTGTTGTGAGTTCCAACTTCCAATGCCATTAATCCTTGAAGGCTTTAAAGTAAGGTGCTTAAATCCCTCCCAAGTCTTAATTTGACACAAGCAATACGTAAGGATTTCATCTACTTGTTTTTCTTTTTCTGCATTGCTGAATCCAAGGTATTGGGATTTGGGACCTGCTTCACTACCTAACCTAGCTGATTAGCTTATTGGTTTCTTAATTTTGAAAAAAAAAACAGTAGTTAGCTTATATAATTTATCAAATGTTTGTTAATTATTATAGTTGTTGGGATGCATGTGATTAGGTGTATGGAATGAGGAGTAAAAGAGAGCCTCACATTGGAAAGACATAAGAAGTGCATGATATTTATATACAAGAGTGATTCATAATTTAATAACTTAGGCTTTTGGGTTGTAAGTGGTGCTATCTCTTGTGTACAACAAGTCTTACATGTGGATACATGTATGGGCCCTTGATTATGGCAACTCTTCATGGTCCATGACCACCCTCAAGACACAACAAGTAGTATTAGAGCCGAAGGTTTAGCTAAGTGTAAGCATTGACAAATGAACATGGTGACTCCAATGGTCAAATAGTTTGCATGCGATGGCTGCGGCTTTCAAGAGAATGTACGTGGTCCGGAATGGGTAGCAGTAGGTGGTAGACTCTCTATGGCTTGAGCAAGGGCTCTTGGTGTTGTGCATGTATTAAGTGTACGAGCCCCTCGTTATGGCGATTCTGACCAATAAAAACACTTCGTGATGAGCTTCCATAAGGAGATGAATTTTAGCAATCTGCTTAAAACATGGTCTCTGTAAGGGTTTGTGAATTGTAATCTATTCTTCCTTCTACATTTTTGTTTGTTTTTTACTGTACTTTCGGTAATTTACATGTGTATGGTACATTTAAAACCACCAAAATATTATAATTTTATTAAAAATGCATTGGTGCACAAATGCACAATAGTTTTATTCGAACTACTTAGATTCATTGACTTTACAATTTACCGTTGAGCCAAGTGGGAGAAGGAGAATAAGATTAGAAGGAAAGCTGTAGATGGGAATTAATTAAAAAGAGCAATAATAAATTAGATAATTAATGACGGTTAATATGAGCAAAACTATAATAATATTACTGAACATTTGCTGCCCACTTCGCTATGTTTCAAGTGGAAGATGCAAGATGCAGCTCTATCATCCTTATGTCTCGCCACTATTTCGGGATCAAGTCAATGTTTATGACATCTAAATAAATCGTACTAGGCTACCACTTCTATGAAAAACCAACGTCAAAATTGATCAATATCCCCAGTGAAGAGCCAGAGAAAAGAGAAAGTAGTGTCAGTTACTCAAGACCTCTTCTCCCCCTTTGACAGACAGTGACAAACATTAAAAATTAAAATTGAGATTTTTAGATGGGAAAATTATTAAAAATAAAAAAATGGGAATTTGAGATGGTATATTCAGAGTCAGAGTATCCTCACCTTTAAGAAACGCACGTGCATCGAGTCGTCAGAGCCCGGCAACTAGTTGTTGTGGATTAATTCCAGTCTGCTTACTACTTGCCGATTTTCCTCCGTTGGATTTGGATCGGAAGGTTTTGTAAGCAAGCGTTGAAATTTTGGACTGGCCGACTTCATATTTTCCGTTTTCGGCTTTCAAAGAAATTGACGAAGATCATTACTATAGCCGTTTGAAATGACAACTTTTCAACAATTTCGAATCGCACCGCGAGGCCGAGGCGTAAATGAACCAACATGCATAGACGTAATGGACCTTAAATTTTTTTCTCTGACTAATTTGCCCCAGATAATACAAGAAAAAGGAAATGAGAATTATTTTGACTTTTTTTACAATAAAAAATTCCAGTAGGGCCGCATTTGTTCTATTGCTGAAATAATAAAAGATGGGATGAAATAGGAAAATTGGATGCACAAATTTCACATTTTACTTGGTAATACAAGGAAAGAATACTGGGAACAAACCGTAATAATAAAGAAATTGTGTTTTCAAATTTCAATAATCCTTGGGGTAGAATCCATCACCAAATTTTGGGTTACTTAATCATCGATACAACAACAAAATATGAAGAAAGAAGACTTGACCAATGAACCAATAACATAACCAGTTTAACCATTTAACTGTTTGACCCAGTTAATAGGTCATGCATCATACATTACTTAGTTTTTCTTTTGTCTTTTAAGTTATTTTCATCACTAAGAAAAATTATTTTTATTTTATCATATTTATTTTTATTTAATAAAATGAATACATATAATGTTAAAGATATTTTAAATTATTTTATAAAAAATATATTTTTTTTGTCTTTTTAT